AGTTGATGTATATCAGGTGGATGATTCGGACACTTGGCTCTTTATACATTTCACTTAGTTTCCACCACAGCTTATTGTGACTTGAACCAAGATGGTAAAGGGTTCCTGCGTTCACTATGGTCTGATTTTTTGGTGTTTTGAAGAGTCTTACCGGTCAGCAGCTAAACTTGGTCATTAGTTTAACTTTGGTATGGTCAGCAGGCCCATAGAAACTTCTTGCATGAGACTGTATAATGGTTCTGTTCCATTTCATTAAAATTAGCTCATCAACACTCCCTCTGTATACAACATTTGCCAATGATTACTAAACTACTTTGTATCTCCTATGTTCTAGAGCAGTAAAGAGCTACAGGATTTTTTAGTCTTCTTCTCCCCTTACCCTTGCAATAATGCCAATGTTTGTTTTTCATTAAGATATAAAAGACATATAACATTACATTAGTTTCCATTGTACAACATAATGATTTGATATTGGTATATATTGCAGAATGATTATTGTAAGTCTAGTTAACATGTGTCACTATGTATAGTTATAACATTCTTCTTCTGATGAGAACTTTTAAGATCTATTTTCTTAGCAACCTTCAAGTATGCAATACAGTATATTAACTGTAGTCACCACCCTGAACATTAAATCCACACGACTTCTCATTGTAACTCAGGTTTGTACCTTTTGGTGCTCTCCATCACTCATTTTGCTCCCACCCCCTACTTCGTGCCTTGGTAAACAACAATCTGTTCCATGTATCTATGAGCTTGCTTTTTTGGTTTTTTTTACGATACTACCAGTAAGAGAGATCATATAATATTTTTCTTTCTCTATCATATCAATACTTTAAAAAATATATTCAATTTAGCCTTTTGGTACCAGTTTTTAACTCTTAACTAGATGTGATAGCCTTGATTTTGCTACCAATATTCATACATCCTGGCTAACTCTACTTTCTTAACTTGAAGTGTAATATATATATATGTAATTTAAGAATATTTGCAAAGAATTCGGTATAAATTCAGTTATTCATGAGCACTAATTGCTTTGATTAAATTAGATCATTTTATTTAAACAAATGCAAATGAATCCATTTTTCTAGATGTCTTAACTGACTACCGATAGATTACATTTTCACTTTTTATTTCCAGCAAGGATTTGAAAGATGCTATGGAAATTCTGATAGAAGAAAAAAGACACAGGATTTCCACAGCAGAGAAACTGGAAGACTGCATGGATTTCGCCACTGAATTGATTTTTGCCGAGGTACACACCTGGACTAACCATAATTCCCAAACAACATGTGTATGACTATGTACAGGTGTCTAAAAATCCCATCCTGTTTATTGTTCCATATTTCTGCGTTTAGATACTTGGTCTACTATTTTTATAATGCCCAACCCAAATAGCCCACTATCAGACATCCTGGTAGGTCTGACCTTTAAGATTTAAACTATTCTGTGTCTGCACAATACAAAATATAAAAACCAGGAAGTCCAAAAACACTAAACATACAGAAAATGGTTGAATTATTCAGCTTTCAGCTGAAGATTGTTACAAAAAATGTTCATTTCAATCCTAGAGACGTAATTTCTATGATTTCATTTTGTTGAGGTTGTTGATCCTGGAGTGCCACCTCCCCTCCTGTTCTGAAACATTTATTCACTTTACCAATGTTTCTCTCCCCTTGCAATTGTTCAGAGACGTGGTGACCTGACAAAAGAGAATGTGAACCAGTGCATATTGGAAATGCTGATCGCAGCACCGGACACCATGTCTGTCTCTGTATTCTTCATGCTGTTTCTCATTGCAAAGCATCCCCAGGTTGAAGAGGCAGTAATGAAGGAAATCCAGACTGTTGTTGGTAAAAGTTTATCACATAAATCATACAGTTTAGAAAACTATTCTGTCTGAATATCTGTTTCTATGTCCTAAGAATCTTAGGTCAAAACCTTTATCAGAATCCACCCAGAGAACAAAAAAGCAAGTCATTGTGTCGCATTTTCACTATGCCAGATATGTGAAAATGATATGTGAAATGATGTGTTTTCCTAATTATCAAAAAATGCTTGTTGAAAAATTTCAAATAATAGAGAGATGTGTAAAGTAGGAAACAGTATCAGCTGATTCCTTCCACCCTGCTCCCCCGTCTCATCCCATAACCATGGGGAACCACTGTTAATATTCTGCTGTGTATTCTTCAAGGTCTTTTTTAATGGCCACATGAACATGTATATATGGTTTAATTTATCTGTATTTAAAAAAAATGGGATCATCCACAAGGATCTGCTACCTATCAGAGGCAAAAGGCTTCTGAGGGTCCACCCAGGGAAATGGCTACACCTTATGGCAGTGTTTCTGGCTTTCAAGCAGCCTGAACCTAAGGAATGCCTTTGGTTATCTTCTCCATCATCTTCCCTCTACCTCCCCATCCCAGATAAACATGCCCATTAGACTCTTAAGTGTACAGAGAGCAGTATGTGAGGAGCTGGGCTGTAAGAGTTCTCTGACCAAGTGAGACTTTCCTGAATATCACAGTTGCACAGGAGACAGGGATGCCTCAGGACCCTGGGTTGATTTTGATTCTGCAAAAGTGGTACCCCATTTGAGGATGGTTGGAAGCTTTTTCAATCTGGGGAGTCATCTGAGCATCTGTGACCAGTGTCAGGCCAATCTGAGACAGCCGGGGTGTCCGTTAATTCTCCAGAGGCATGCCTTTCACTGTAGTGGGGAGAAGAGGATTTGCCACTATACCAAATCACGTCCTTGATGCGATGGGGAGGAGGGACTCTCTGATATGTTCTGACAGATGACTGCATAGGACACCAGAAGAGAAAATTACTTTGAACCTGATTAAACTCACCGTCTCACTCTGACTAGAGAAGGCATGAATGTCTTCTAGAATTTAGAGTAGGAGACAAAACTCACAAACCACAGAGGCCAGGCAGATAAATGTTTGAAGCAGACTGGGTAGCTCTACGTG